CTATTACGCTAAGCAGAGTAAGTCAGACAGAAAAAGTTAAGAACCATATGATTTCACTCATGTGGAACAGAAAAGTGAAAGCAACAAATGGATAAACAAGAGAGACAAAACCTCATAAATACAGTGTGGTTGTTAACAGAAGGTTGGGGAGTAGGGGGAGTCATAAAGGGTAAAGGGGGGTCAAATATATGGTGACAGAAGATGATTTGACTTTGGGTGGTAGGTACACAATGTAATATGTAGGTTGTGTCATAGAAATGTACACTTGAAACCTATATAATCCTACTGACCGATGTTACCCCATTAAATAAAAAAATAAATAAACAAAAACTCCCAACAATAGTCCAGGACCAGATCACTTCACAGGCGAATGCTGTTAGAAATTTAAAGAATTAATATCCATCCTTCTCAAATTATTGCAGAAAAAATTGAAGAAAAGGGAATACTTCCAAATTTATTCTACAAAGTCTGCATTCATTACCCTGATATCAAAACCAGACAAAGACACTGAAAAAAAAGAAAAAGAATATATTTCATTTATTTCTGTTCTAATCTTTATTATTTACTTCTCCCTTCTGGCTTTAGGTTGCTTTTCTTTTCCTAATTACATGGTATATAGTTAAGCTATTGACTTGACATCTTTCTTCTTTTTTAATGTATACTTTTACAGTTAATTTCCCTCTTAGCACTATCTTTGTTGTGATATATAAGATTTGGTATGTTGTGATTCTCTTTTTCTTTGATGGTACTTTACAGTTTCCTTTGTGACTTCGTATTTCACCCATTGGTTGTTTAAGAAAGTGTGGTTTAGCCCTTGCTGGTGGGGCTCAGTGGACTGAGCCATGGCCTGTGAACCAAAGGGTCGCTGGTTGGATTCCCAGTCAGGGCACCTGCCTGGGTTGCAGGCCACATCCACAGTGGGGACCATGTGAAAGGCAACCACACATTGATATTTCTTTCCCTCTCTATCTCCCTTCCTTCCCCTCTCTAAAAATAAATAAATAAAAAATCTTAAAGAAAGAAAGAATAATTTATTGTATGATCTCATACGTGAAGTCTTCCAAAAAATACAAAAAAAACCCACCCAGCAATAACAAAACCCTCCAAACTCATGTAAAAAGAGATCAGGTTTGTAGTTACCAGAGGTGTGGGGTAGGGGAGTTTGGGGAAAAGGTTTTGGAGGTAAGTGGTTAAAAGGTACAGGCTTCCAGCTATAAATATATAAGTAATAGGAATGTAATGTACAACATGATGACTATACTTAATGTTGCTGTATGATATATAGAAAAATTGTTAAAAGTAGTCTAAAAATTTTCCTTTTGTATCTAAATGAGGCAATGGACGTTAACTAAACCTATCATAGCAATCATTTTACAATATATGTAAATCAAACATCATGCCCAACACCTTAAAATTATACAGTGATACATATTAATTATTTTTCAATAAAACTGGAAAAAATAAAAAATTTAGAAAGAATGTGTATTTAATTTTCACGTATTTGTGATTTTTTTCAGTTTTCTTTGTGCTATTGACTTCTAGTATTATTGCATTGTGATTAAAAAGATACTTTATAAGATTTCAGTGTTTTAAAATTTATTAAAACTTGTGTGGCTAACAAATGACTTATCCTGGAGAGTATCTCATGTGGACTCGAGACAAATGTGAATTCTGCTCTACTTGGGTGGAATACTCTGTATGCATACAATTGATTATAGAGGGGGTGGTTTTTGTTGTATTTTTTTCCCATTACCATTTAGTCCCCTTATACCTCCCTGCCCCGCCCCCCAAGTTTAAAGTGTTTCCTTAAGTCCTTTATTTCTCTATCTTCTCTGTGGTTTTCTATTTATCAGTGAAAGTTGGGAATTTACAATCTAACTATTATTATAAAATATATATTTCTCTCTTCAATTCTGCCAATTTTTTATTATGGGGCTGTGTTTTTAGATGCATATATGTTTATGATTGCTGTATTCTCTTGTGTTAAACTTGATATCAATCTTCTCAATATTCTTTGTCTCTTTTAAACTTTTTCAATTTAAAATCTATTTTGTCTGCCAAAATGTAGCCACACCAACCCTTTTTGTTTACTATTTGTATGTAATATCTCTTCCATTTTGTACCTTCAACTTTTTTGTATAATTATATCTAAAGTGAATCTTTTATAGCATATGGATGGATGCTGTTTTTTACTCACTCTTCCATTTCATTTATCCAGACTGCAGGTAAAGGATTTACTTGTGACATTTATTAATTTGCATTTTGTATGTTTCACATATTCCTCAGTCTTTCCATTGCTGCTCTTTTTTTGGTAGTGTATAATTTTGTTCCTTCTTATTTTCTTTTAGTTATCACCTTGGAGATTGTAATTAACATCTTAACCCTATAATAACCAGCTTAGTTTCAATAGCGCACAAACACTCTACTCCTATGCGTCTCTGTCATTCCCCCTTTATATTGTTATTGTCACAGATTACATCCTTATGCATTGTAAAGACATTAATGGCCCTGGCTGGTGTAGCTCAGTGGATTGAGCACAAGCCTGAGAACCGTAGTATCTTGGTTCGATTCCCAGTCATGGCACATGCCTGGGTTGCAGGCCAGTTCCCAGTAGGGGATACATGAGAGGCAACCATACATTGATATTTCTTTCCCTCTCTCCTTCCCTTCCCCTCTGAAGATAAAGAAATAAAAATCTTTAAAAAGAGACATTAATGTAGAACTTAACTTACTGTTTCATGCATTTGCCTATTGTATTACATAAGACAAAGAGAGAAGTTATATACCATATCAAAAATACAGTACTGCTGGCTTTCACATTTATCTGTGTAGTTACTTTTACCAGTGTTTTCTTTTTTCCTTTTTTAATGGCTTTGAGTTCGTCATGAGTGCCCTTCCTTTCAGCTTGAAAGGCTTCCTTTAATATTTAGTGTAGGACAGGTCTACAGGTAATGAACTCCCTCAACTTTTGTTTGTCTAGAAATGTCTTAATGTCCCCATCATTAATTCTTGGTTCATTATTAATTTTTTCATGACTCTATCCCACTGCTTTTGTTCTTCATGGTATTTGAGGAGAATCAGCTTTTAACCTTATTGGGGATCCTTTGTATGTGATGAATCACTTCTTTCTTGATGCTTTCCCACTTTCTTCTTTGTCTTTGCATTTCAGTGAGTTGGCTGTAATGTGTCTTATTGTGGTTTTCTCTGAGTTTATCTTTCTTGGAGTTCACTGAGCTCCATGGACACGTATATTCATGTTTTCTCACATTTAGGACTTTTCTAATTATTATACCTTAGATAATTTTTTTTTGTTTCTGCTGGAACTCCCATAGTGAGCATGTTGATATGTTTTATGATGTCCCACAGGCTCCTCGGGCTCAATTATTTTTATTCGCTCTTTTTATTTTTAGGTCCTCATACTAGATAATTTCAAATTCACTGATCCTTTCTTTTTGCCAGCTTAAATCTGCTGTTGAACCCCTCCAGAGACTTTTTACTCCAATAATTGTACTTGTCAGATTGAGAATTTGTTTGGTTTATTATAATTTCTATCTTTGTTAACACTGTCATTTTCATACATGATTTCCATGATATCCTTTAGTTCTTAGTTCATGGTTTAAAAAATTATTGGACATATTTAAGACAGTTGATTTAAAATCTTTGACTAACAATTTCAGTATGTGTTCTTCCTTAGGATTTCCTGTTTTAAATTCCTGTTTTCCTGTGAATGGACTATACTTTTTATATTTTTGCTTTTTTTGGTTTAAAACAATATTTTGAGTATTTTATTGTGATACTTCTGAAAGTCTAATTCTCTCACTTCTTAGCGTTTGCAAAATCAAGTTTCTTGAGGGCTGGAGCCATTCACTTGTGACTTACCCCAACTTTTTTTTTAAACAAAGTGGGTATTTCTTGTTTGTAGTCAGTTATTAAAGTTTCTATTCTGTTATCTCTACAGTCAGCCTGTTACCTAGCAAAGAGTTTGTTAAATGTCTGGCTCCCCAAAGGGAAAGAAAGTAAAAAAACAAACAAGCAAACAAATGTACTGCCTCTTTAAATCCCAGGGAAGCTGCTTCGGCCTTGGGAGACTGAAACAATGACTGCCAGACTTTGTGCTGGCTCCTCAGTGTTCAGTATCAACACTCAGAACACATAATCTTGAGTTACAAAAGACAGAGTTCTTATTGCCCACCCTGGCTCCAGCCAGCTGCAACCAGGAGTGTGGCCTGCTGCCTGCATGGCTTCCTGCCACAAAGTTGAGAGATACGAGATGGCAGCCAGTACCTCACTGAAAGGCTGAAATTCACTAAAGTTTACTGATATTTGCCAGCTCCTCGTCATGCTTTTCCGTGGATACTGCAAGAGTTCACTTGACTCCAGATTTCCTAAACATTCGATTGAGGCAGTTTCTGCAAGTTCAATAATTATTTAGGTGGAGGGATGGACTTTTGGATCTTCTTACTCTGTCATCATCTATCTCTATGAAGGCATTTATTTTGCTGGGGTAGATGCCTGAAAGTGAAATGAGAAGTGTGTGTTTAATTTTTAAGGAACTGCCAAACTGCTTTACAAAATACTATTCCACAATCTTACCAACAGTTTATGGGAGTTCAGTTGCTCTACATCTTTACCAGTAATTGGTATGGTCAGGTTTTATAATTTTAGATTTTCTAATGAGTATCTAGCCATGCCTCTTGGTTTGAATTTGCATTTTCCTAATGACCAATGATGTTCAGCATCTCTTCATATATTATCCATGTTTCTTTTTTGGTAACATAACCGATCAATCTTTTGACCATTTTTACTTAGATTGTTTTGTTCTTAGTGTTGGATTTTGAAAGTTGTTATATATTGTGAGTGAAAGTCCTTTATCAGTTACATGATTTGGAAATATTTTCTCCCAGTCTGTGGCTGATTTTTTCATGTTTAACAGTGTGTTTTGAAAATTATTATTCTTGCTCTGATATTAGTTATTATTAATAGTTAGATTATCTCATTTACTCATCACAAAATAATGGTGGAGCTATTATTACTCCCATATTACAGGTGAAGAAACTGAGACTCAGAAGAGTTTGTCACTTACCCAAGATCACAAATTAGTAAGTGGTGGAGCCAGAACTTGAAACCAAGGCCTTCTCAGTCCATAGATTGAGATATTAGCCTCAATTCTAGACTAATACTCATGCTTTAGGTGCTGGGATGAAAGTCTCTTCTGGATAAATGTGCTGGGCACCAGCACCTCTGCTGCTAGAAGAATCCATGCTTGCCATGCCTCTTTCCATGGTCCTACTCTTTAAAATCTCCTTTCCTTCAGACTGGTGGAAGAAGTGAAAGAGCTGTGTGACGGTGTGGAGTTAGAAAATGAAGACATTTACATGGCAACAACCTTCAAGGACTTCATCCAATTGTTAGTGAGAAAGCTTCGAGGGGATGACAAAGAGAGCGAGTGCATCATTGACTACGTGAGTTCTGGGCCCCTCTACATGGGCATGGCTCTGTAGACACTTCAGGCATTGACAGCTACGGACCCAAAATGACACATGGGGGTAACATGGATGAACTGGAAGACAGGACCCCCAAGAGCCCGTTTTTCAGTGTCCCAAGCTCTCTCTGGCAGCTCTGGATGACCTGATGCCAGGCCTGGCAGTAGGGAAAACACAACAGAAGAAATTCCTAAGACTCAGTATATAGGGCAAGTTCTGAGTTCCAAGACATGAAACTAGGAAAATAATAAGAAGCTTGTACAGAGCACTTCTCTCTTTCTTTCACCTTTTGTGGGTTTTTCAAGTTCATCTTCACTGTGCCTCCATCCTCTCCCAGATTATCCTGCCTTGACTCTGGCTCCCCTGAGTGGCCCTAGCCCCGAGTTCTGGTACAACCATCTCCTCCATTTGTCCCTTTAATTTGGTGATGGCAGTGGCTTCCTGCTATTGGCGATCTCTGGGTTGACCCATGGCTTATCAGCTCTTCCATCACCTGTGTAACTAATTCTCTGCATAAAATTATGTTTCTTGAAATGCTAGAACAAAAAGAAAGCAAGAGGAAAAGAAATTTGGATTATTTTCTCAATAAAGAAACCAAATGTTCCTATACATTTCACCTGTGTTATGGAAGAGTGATGAAGTACTTGTAAATCCGTTTCTTAAAGAAACTCTTGAAAATTATTGCCAGGTTATCTTGGCAAGCTACAAACTCCCGTAGTAATTAGCTTTGGGGTAATTCGTTTGGTTGGTAGTTTGAGACCAAGGCTGATGAAGAAAGTACAGGTTGACAGGATGGACTTCAGTTTGGCTTTGGGTTTGCGGAGAAATGACTGATGAACAGGTTTCAGGAAGGAGTCAGCATCACAGAGATTCGTGCATTCAGCATGTAGTTGCAGATCTGTAGAGAAGTACATGGTGGGGCTGGTGTCAAGTGTGGCAGTTTACAGGGACCTGTCCACCTACTTTCCATGTGTGAAGGTCAAGCAAACAGCCTGAGGTCACATAGCAGGTAAGTAGCAGGGCTGGAGCTTTAGTCAAGGCAGTTTGGCCTCAGAGTCTGTGCTTTTCATTTCTTCTTACCAATCAGATCCTTAGCCTTCCCCCACAGTAGATCCCTCAGTTGTAGCCCACGGACTGTAGCCCAGTTGTGTGTGTGTGTGTGTGTGTGTGTGTGTGTGTGTGTGTGTGTGTGTGCACAAACATGTCAGTGGTTGTATATCCATTTAAGTGTTTCTTTATTTATTTTATGCATCAAGCTTTTATTTCTAGAAATGCAAATTATTAACACTGTAGAAAATATGCCAAATTATTAACACTGTAGAAAATATTGTGAGATAATATTAAAAATGGGGCTGGTAGAGATACTTCAATCTGACCATCATTGGCAGTAAGAAATAATCTTGTATTTTCTTTTTTCTTCTTGTTCACGTTCAGTTGTCTCCATGTTCCTTCTACCACTGGCCCCCAGTGCAGCCAACTCTACCTCCCACCCTTGATCCTACCCCCCTTTGGCTTTATTCATGTGTCCTTTATACATGTTCCTTGAGGAACTTTCCACCTCCTCCCCTATTATCCCCTCCCACCTCCCCTCTGCTTACTGTCAGTTCATTCTTTATTTCAGTGTCTCTGGTTATATTTTGATCACTTATTTGTTTTGTTGATTAGGTTCCACTTATAGATGAAATCATATGGTATTACTCTTTCACTGCCTGGCTTATTTCACTTAGCATAATGCTATCCAGATGCACCCATGCTGTAAAGAAAGGTAGGAACTCCTTCTTTCTTTCTGCTGTATAGTATTCCATTGTGTAAATGTGCTTACTGATGGGCACTTCATTTACTGATGGGCACTTAGGTTGCCTCCAGCACTTGGCTACTGTAAATTGTGCTGCTATGAACAATGGGGTGCATAGGACCTTTTGAATAGGTGTTTCAGCAGTGGAATTGCTGGGTCAAAAGGCAGTTCCATTTTTGGTTTTCTGAGGAAATCCCATATCGTTTTCCACAGTGGCTGCACTTGTCTGCACTTCCACCAACAGTTCACTGGGGATTCCTTTCCTCCATGACTTCTCCCACACTTGTTTGTTGATTTGTTTACGATGGCCATTATGATCAGTGTCAAGTGGCATCTCACTGTGGTTTTAATTTGCATCTCTCTGATGGCTAGTGATGCTGAGCATCCTTTCATATGTCTCTGGGCCCTCTGTATGTCCTCCTTGGAGAAGTGTCTATTCAGGTCCTTTACCCATTTTTGAACTGAGTTATTTGTCTTCCTGGAGTCATGTGAGTTCTTTACATATTTTGGAGCTCAAACCCTTGTCTGTGATATCACTTGTAAATATATTTTCCCATATCATTGGTTCCCTTTTCATTTTGCTGATGCTTTCTTTATCCATGCAGAACATTTATATTTTGATGAAGTCCCACTTGTTTATGCTTTCCTTGATGTCCCTTGCTGTAGGGAACATACCAGTGTAAATATTGCTGTGTGCAATATGTGAGATTTCCCTGCCTATGTTCTCCTCTAGGACTTTTATTGTCCTCTAAGTATTTAAGTCTTTTATCCATCTTGAGTTTGTTTTTGTGTATAGTGTAAGTTGGTGATTGAGTCCTTTTTTTGTTCTCGTGTAGCTGTCCAGATAGCCCAATACCATTTGTTGAAGAGGCTGTTTTTACTCCATTTTTTGCTTCTTTCCCCTTTGTTGAATATTAATTGGCCATAGAGACTTGGGTTTATTTCTGGGCTCTCTATTCTGTTCCTTTGATCGATGTGTCTGTTCTTATGCCAGTACCAGACTGTTTTGATTACCATGGCCTTGTAATATAATTGATATCAGGTCTTGTGATCCTTCCTACTCTGTTCTTCTTTCTCAAAATTGCTATGGCTATCTGGGGTCACTTATTGTTCCATATAAGTTTTTGAAATGTTTGTTCTATGTCTGAGAAATATATCATTGGTATTTACTATGGATTGTATGAATCTAAAAATTGCTTTGGGTAGTATGGACATTTTGATGATGTTAATTCCTTCAATGCATAAACACAGTATGTGCTTTCATTTATTTGTGTCTTCCTTAATTTCTTTTGTCAGTGTTGTGTAGTTTCCTGAGTACAGATCTTTCACCTCGTTGATTAGATGTACTCCTAGGTACTCTATTTTTCTTGTTGCTACATCAAATGGGATTCCCCCCCCCCCCAGCCCCGATTTCTCTTTCTGGTATTTCATTGTTGGTGTACAAAAATGCCTTTGATTTCTGAATATTGATTTTGTGTCCCACTGTTTTGCCAAATTTGCTTATTAGGTCAAGAAGGTTTTCTTGAGGAGTCCATAGGATTTTCTATGTTCACTATCATGTCATCTGCAAATAGTGACAGTTTTCCTTCCTCCTTTCCAATTTGGATGTCTTTTATTTCTTTTCTTGTCTGACCACTGTAGCTACAACTTTCAATACTATGTTTAATAGAAGTGGTGAAAGTGCGCATCCTTGTCTTGTTCCTGATCTTAGTGGAAAAGATTTTAGTTTGTGCCCGTTGAGTATGATGTTGGCTGTAGGTTTCCTGTATATGGTCTTTTTTAGTTGAGGAATGCTCCCTCTATTCCCATTTTGCTGAGTTTTTTTTTTTATCACAAATGGGTGCTGTACCTCATCAAATGCTTTTTTCACATGTATTGATATGATCATGTGATTTTTGTGTGTCCTTTTGTTTATGTGATGTATTATACTTATTGATTTGAGAGTATTGTACCATCCTTGCATCCCCGGATGAATCCCACTTGATTATGGTGTATGATCTTTTTAATGTAATGATGGATGTGGATTGCCAATATTTTGTTGAGGATTTTAGTGTCTGTGTTCATCAGCAATATTGGCCTATGGTTTTCTTTCATCGTCTTTATATGGTTTTTAGATTAGTAGATGATGGCTTCATAGACAGAGGTTTTGGAGTCTTTCCTCTTCTTGGATTTTTTTTGGAATAGTCTGTGAAGGATGTGGGTTAGCCCTTCCTTCTGTGTTTCCTAAAATTCTCCTGTGAAACCATCAGGTCCTGGGCCGTCATGTGCTGGGAGTTTTTTGATTACTGCTTTGATTCAATCACCTGTTATTGGTCTGTTCAGGCTTTCTGCTTCTTTTCCATTCAGTTTTGGAAGATTCTGTTTTTCTAGAAACTTGTCCATTTCACCCAGATTGTCAAATTTCTTAACATATAGTTGTTCATAGTTATTTTTTACAGTCCTTTCTATTTCTGGAGTATCAGTGGTAATCTCTCCTCTTTCACTTCTCATTTTGTTTATTGGGGCCCTCTCTCTTTTTTCCTTGATGAGCCTGACTAAAGGCATGTTGATTTTGCTTATCTTTTGCTGATCTGGGATTTACTGACCCTTCGAGTATGTCATTTAATTCTGCTCTGACCTTGGTTATTTCCTTCCTTGTACTCACTAGGGGCTTTGTTTGTTGTTGTTCTTCCAGCTCTTGTAGGTGTAGGGTTGGATTGTTTATTTGAAATCTTTGTCTTTTTTAGGTAAGCCTGTATTGCTGTGAACTTCCCTCCCAATACTGCCTTCGCTGTGTCCCATAAGGTTTGGACTTCTGTGAGTTCAATTTCATTTGTTTCCAGAAAGCTTTTGATTTCTCCCTTGATCTAATTTTAAACCCATTCATTGTTTAATAGCATGCTAACCAATATCCACTAATATGAATATTTTTGAGTTTTTCCCTTGAGGTTGGTTTCTAGTTTCAGGCCCACATGGTCTGAGAAATGCTTCATACAATTTCAGTTTTCTTGAATTTGTTGAAGCTTGTTTTGTGTCCTATCATGTGGTCCATCTTTGAAAATATTCCATGTACATTTGAAAAGAATGTGTATTTTGCTTCTTTGGGATGAAAGGAGATATATAGATGAAACATATATATCTATATATCTACATAGATATAGTCCATTTGATCTAGGCATTGTTCAATGCTACAATATCCTTGTTGATGTTTTGTTTGGAGGATCTATCCATTTTTAACAGTGCAGTGTTAAAATCCCCTAGTATAAGTGTGTTGCTGTATATATCTTTCTTGAAGTCCTCCAAGGTTTTCCTTACATATTTTGGTGCTCCTATATTGGGTGCATATATGTTTATAATGTTTATGTGTTCTTGATGGATTCTTTACTTGAGGATTATGAACTGTCTTTCCGGGTCTCTTTTTATGGCCTTTGTTTTGAAGTCTACTTTTGTCTGATACGAATACTGCTATCCCGGCTTTGTTTTCCTGTCCATTTGCTTGGAATATTGTTCTCCAACCTTTCACTTTCAGCCTGTGTAGGTCTTTTGTTCTGAGGTGGGTGTCTTGTAGGCAACACATGTGCTGGTCATGTTTTCTTATCCATTCAGCTACCCTACATCTATTGACTGGACCATTTAATCCATTTACATTTAAGGCTATTATTGATAGGTACTTATCCATAAAAATATGGAATGCTTCATGAATTTGCTTGTCATCCTTGTGCAGGGGCCATGGTAATATTCTCTGTATCATTCAAGTTTTACTATATGTGCTGCTGAAGCAAGCACCACCTAAGTGTTTCTTATGCCTCCATGTGGGTTTGTGCCACTCACTGATGCCCATTTGTGAAGAATCCACACTACAGCTAAAACCTGTGAAATGTTCCTTCCCAGGTGGAAAAAGCAGTGAACAAGCTGGTCCTCCAAATGCCTCACCAACTTTTCATTGGGGGCAAGTTTGTGGATGCTGAGGGTGCCAAGACCTATGACACTATCAACCCGACAGATGGAAGTGTGAGTGCATGCCCAGCATCCCCTTCTTTCCCCCCTGCCACTGCTGCCCCTTCCATGATGTGTTCTCCCATCTACTCCCCTATCTGATCTCTGGGGGTCCTGTCCCAGGGGACTTCTGCTTAGACACAAAAGGACTGTAGTCATTCTCCAGACCTCATTACAGGAATGGCATAGTGGAGAGGTTGGCAGGGGTTGGGGACCAGAGCACTCTACAGGGGCTTGAGCTGGCTTCATAGACCTGGAATAGAGTTACAACCTCCCAGAGAAGACAAGAAGACCATTCCCTCCTCCACACTTCAACAATTATCCCAGTGTGGGCCCCACCTTCCCAAATATTTGTACCCCAACATCAGAAAATTCTTCCTCGAATCCTGCGTTTGTCAAGGTTCTTGATTATTGCCCTCTTACATCATGACCCATGCACACATGTGCATACCTGGAACAACAGAATATATTCTCACAGGTATATTCTGATCACTTCCTATTCTGTCCCATCCTGCAGCATCACTTCAGTTCCTGCAGAAAAGTGATAGCACACTCAAAATGGCTCATCTGAGGGGAGTGTAAAGAAAGTTCTTCCCAAAGAGATGAAGAAATTGTGGGGACATAGACAAGGGGTACAGTGCCCTTGGACAGCAACATTGAGCACTTTTGCCACCTCAAAACATACTTTGGGGGTCTTGGACTGGAGGTTATAGGGACAGGGCTGCCCAGCAGGTGCCATCTGTACTGATCAGCAAGGAAGTGCTGACCTCACCCCTCCTTCCCTTCTCTCTCACCTGTGCCAAGGCTTGTGCTGTAGAGAATATTGGCACCCTTGGGGTGTGCCATGCAGCGAGGGGACCTGTCCAGTTTCCTCCAATGTCTCGCCTATTCCACTTAAGAAAGAAAACTTCTGGTGAAATGAGTCCATGCTTTTGGTTTGAAAACACTCAGACTTAATCTGCAGCCCAAGTCTGCTGCCCTGTTGGACTCAGTGGGAAAGTGAAGAGAAGGTCCCTGGTGTGTAGAAATACAAACAGACCTTTCCTAGGACCCAACGATCTTCCTCTCGTTGTTGCTCCCCTCCAGTGCCCTTCTTCTGGCAAACTTTCTTCTCTGAGCTCACCAGGTGGCCAGGAGAGCAGGGAGGTGCTGTGTCTGTGTTTGTGTCCACTGAGCTTAGGGAGGGCTTCAGAGCTCTGCTCCACCACAGGTTATCTGCCAGGTGTCCCTGGCCCAGGCCAGCGATGTTGACAAGGCAGTGGCTGCTGCAAAAGAGGCCTTTGAGAACGGATTGTGGGGGAAGATCAGCGCGCGGGACCGGGGCCAGCTCCTGTACAGGTAAGAGCCACACACCCACCTGTCAGCCACCACCACCTTCAGCTCAGGGTGAGGGTGGATGTTATGGTCCTGTCAAGAGGAGCTGGGGTTCTGGACAGGTCACGGAGGCCTGAAGCTCATAAAAGGCTGCTTGGAGGAAGTGACTTGGGAAGCAAGAGGGATTTCACAAGTGGCCTTAGGGGAAAGGTATCCTGAGTAGAGGAGACAATGTGAGCAAAGATAAGGAGGTACAAAGGTGAGGCAGTGCTTCAGATGGGAGCTACAAAATGGCAAAGCTAACAGCTGGTTCTGGGCAGACTCAGACAGTTGGCAAGGGCAGAGGTGGGGCTCGTTCTCACATTTTCCTTTTTTCTTTTTAAAGTCAGGTGTAAAGGGCTCTCTCTCTTTAACTCCAATCAGAAGTCTTAGGGAAGGACTTGGGATTTCTCTGGCTTGTGACAACAAGGTGGAAGTGAGACCCGGAGGAAAGGAGCTGTTCCTCTAGAATTAGGTGGTCCCAGTGTGGGGGAAGCAATCACTACAAGAAAGCGGAGTGATGTTTCCAACAGAGGGGGAGGGTGCTGGACAGATGAACTGAGCAGTATCTAGAACCTGGTGAGACAGTTTCAGGAACCTGGCTTTGACGCTTTGGGTTCTGGGAAGCTCTCTGGCACGCGGCCTGATGATAATGTAGCCTGAGTATGCTTGTCATCTGGTAGGAGGGACCCCACCTTGGCCACACAGTCAGAATGCCTTTTGTTTCTATTTCAGAGGTAAAACATGCCACAGCAGTCCTCAAAGCAGGAAGGCAAAGAGAGAGGCCTGTATGGGTTGCAAAGTGGAATAGAAATGGTGGGGTTTAGGACAGGTGAGAGCTATGGAAGTTCACACCCAGCCTGCCTTAACTGTAGTTGCTAGGATTCTTGGAGAACCTATCAATTTTAGGAAGCCATTGGCTAGTGACCTAGAGCCTCTGAAGGTCAGTCAGAACTGTGAAACGTGCATGTATAGGCTGCTGGTGGTGACCTGCAGGCCCTGGAATAGGAACCTTTGTGGTGGATGGCACTGGCCCAGAAGAAAGTGTCCTTCCCTTGAAATACTCTCCTACCATCTGGTGGTACATGTAATAACCCCACTAACAACAAAGATAATGAGGAGCTGTTTCTCTGCAGAGCTTTAAGTGGAGACTCCAACTGGGTAGACAGATATCTCAATGCCTGAAATCTCCTAGAGACCTGCTCCCTGCCTCATCAGCCTCCCCATCCCCAGGGAAGAGGTGTGCCCATTGCTGCCCTGGAAGGGGGCAGGAGAGAATTCCCCAGAGAAGTGGCTGCAGAACACCCCTGGTTCAGTGAGGGAAGTAGGACCACCATGGGTATGATGGAATATGGAAGGCATTATAGGAATAAGACATGATGCTAGAAATTGTAGAAGCTGGAAAGATAGATCCAGAAAGGAGAGTTAGAGAAAGCTACCAGCCAGCCCTCCGGCACTCCAGGGAGACAACATAGAACTTCCCTGGCAACCTAGGGGCTATCTTTGGTCATTTGTAATATAGATTTGTGTCTTTGGCTCACTTGTCCTTGTAGCCAATAGAACCCTAGTCCTTGAAATACACAACATTGTGTTTTCAATAATTGGTCTATAATTCTTCTCAAAAAGTGATTTACCCATAGAGTGACCTGGGCACTGTTTCTGAGGTGACAGTGTGGCTCTGCTGCTAATTTGTTGTGCTTATTCAGTCCACAGTTTCACTCACCAATCTTGCACGGCATGGAGCCCATGTGCCTGGTGAGGAGCAGGAGACCAGATGCTGTCCCTGCCCTCATGGGTGAGGCAGTAGTACTGAAATACTCATCTAAGTGAATGTCAGTGGCAGTTGGGAGAGGTTTGAAAAAAGGCAAGGATGCTATGAGGACACTGCAGGGAGACAGGATTGATTGCTTTGCAGTGGGTAGGGTTAAGGTCAGCTTTCCAGAGGGTCTGAAAGAGGTGCAGAAGGTTGAGGGGGGAAACGAGTACAGGAAGAGCGGTGTGGGCCCATGACATGCCACATGGCTCCCAAAGATCACAGGCAAGTGGGTGCCATAGCCCCAGGGGAATTATGCAGGCCCTTGGGGCTAGTCACTCAGACACAGGGTAGGGGCTGCATCCTGAGTGCTGTGGGCAGCCACTGGGAGAACTGGAGGTGTAGGCAGGAAGACTGAAAAAGACCTGGTAGTATTAGGGCCTTGCCAGTGGCTGTACGTAGAAAGGAAAAGAACGGGAAGAGGTCAGTAGGCTTTGATCACACACTTGTCTCTGAGCTCGACCTTCCCCATGTACGAGATTGAGGGCTCCTCTAGATCAGTGGTCCCTACCTTTGCCAGTTCACCCTGCCTGCCAGGCGCATATGACCCTCACACCAGGAAGGGGGGGAACTATTCTAATTCCTAGGCTGACCGTAGCGGCATGCCCACCAGAATCATGGGAGAACAACTGGACATGATTCTGCTCAGACTCCAGGAGAGTTGTGTAGACATGCCTTCCTTCACATCTCTCCTGTCATCCCTCTTTCCATCCCTGGAGACACCAGCCTTGGAAGCAGTTTCCATTGGATTCACTGGTGCTGGAAGCTGGACAGGCTTTCCCCTGGTGGAGGCCATCTGGAAAGAGAGAGGTTGGCCTCCTGGGATGGTGACTTCCTTGTTGGAGGCAGGCAGCCTCCTCTGCAGGGTCATGTGTTGGGGGCTATGATAAGGTAGTCAATTCACCAAGATCTGGAGAAAGAAGAAAAGGAGAGAGGGGTGGAGAGCAGAACAGAAGGCATCATTCTCACCCATCCAGTGAAGTAAATGTTACTGTTCCATCTCATAGATGAGGAAACTGATGTCAGCACATTGGAGTGTGCAGGGCAGGACTCCTGACTCCTTGAAGAGGGGCCTTGAGAAAGCATGCCAGGCCCGAACCCATCTTCCTTCCTTCCTCCATGCCTTGGCCAGGTTGGCAGACCTCATGGAAGAGCATCGGGAAGAGCTGGCCACCATTGAGGCTCTGGATGCAGGTGCTGTCTACACACTGGCCCTGAAGACCCATGTGGGCATGTCCATCCAGACCTTCCGCTACTTTGCTGGCTGGTGTGACAAGATCCAGGTGGGCACGAGGCTCCCACCCACTGCATGAGAGCTCACACAGGCAGGCCCGGCCCGGCAGGGAGTTCCAAGGGCTCTACATTACTCTGAATGCTGTGTAACATGGCTGCAGGCCTCCTGTGTCTCTGTCAAGTCTGGGCTTCATGCTTCCTCTTGTCTCCACAGGACTGAAGGATGTGAGCAGTGAGGGAGGTGGGCCACCACAACTCAGTGTGTAAGGCAACACTGTTTAGTAGTTCCCAGTTCTACAGGTGGGAAGTCCAGGTGGTCTCCACTGGGCTCTACCACAGGGTATCACAAGCTCAGTATCAAGGTGTGGGGGCTGGGCCTTATCCTGAAGCTCTGGGGAAAACCCTGCTTGCAGGCCCATTCTGGTTTTGGCGAGTTTGGTCACTTCCGTGGCAGGACTGAGGGCCTGGGTCCTTGCTGATTGCCGACCAGGGCTGCTCTCAGCTCCTGCAGAACCCTCTCTGGTCTTTACCCAAGCCCTTCATTCCCCCAATCTCTCTGACTCTTATCTGCCACTAATTGGAGAAAACTGTCTGCTTTTATGGGGGCTCCTATTGTTATGCTAGGCTCACCTGCATATCTTCTCATCCTAATCATCCCAGAAGGGGTAGTTAGTGGTATCCCAGGTCACAGGTATCAGGGCATCATCTAGGCTATTATCAGAAGTTTGCCTGCTGCAGGCAGTGATGGGTCATCTCTTCCCCTGGGAGACCCATGACTGCAGAGCTCACAGTGCCTCTGTCAGGTCTGGGCTCTGTGCCTCCCGTCTGTTTCAGCGGGGCTGGGTTCAGTCAGTGACAAAGGTGGGCTGTCTGCCCCACCTGTATCTGAACTCAGATGTCCCATTATACATAATAAGTTGGGAGGTTTGGGTCTCCTCCTCATCTGGGTAGTGGGGGCATCAGGACATAGAGAAGACCCTGCTCTTCCCTGGGCCCCAGGTTTGGTCTGGCTGCCCAGAGGGAAGGTGTGACAAACTGGAGCCCCCTCCCACTGACACCCTCCATGCTTTTTCCAGGGCTCCACCATCCCCATCAACCAGGCCAGACCCAACCGAAACCTGACCTTGACCAGGAAGGAGCCAATTGGGTGAGTCACAGAACAGAGGGGAGAGTGGCCACACCGCTGATGCTCTTCACGCAACACGCTGTGTGGGACACTGATACCGTCTTCTGTTTTTGTATTTATTGAACATCTACTTATTTGTCAACTCTATGTGCCAGACATTTCAGGAGCTGGAAGTACAACAATGATCAAAACTGATGAAAATGCCCATTCTCAGGATAAAAACAACTTCTACTTCCGTAGTACCTGTTCTGTGCCAGGCACTATTTTAACTACTTTATAAATATAAATCCTATGTAATCCACACACTAAGATTGTATCAGTTGGCATTACAGTGGGAAATACCCCCCAAACTTATCTGCTTCCTGAGTGGTGTGGCTCAGTGGGTTGGGCCATCCTGCAAACTGAAAGGTCACCGGGTCACCGGTTCAATTTCCAGTCAGGGAACATGCCCAGGTTGTGGGCCAGGTCCCTGGTTGGGGACATGTGTGAGAGGCAACCTATTGATGTTTCTTACCCTCTCTTTTCCCCTCCTTTCTCCTCTCTCTAAAAAATCAATAAATAAAATCTTTAAAAAGTTTTATCTAAAAAGAGAATAATCAATGTGCTTAAAAATGAAAGACTCTTACACAACCTCAAGGAACAGAAAAACTGGTGGAGAAGAGGCGAGAGCAGAGACAGGTGCTCAGTGGGAAAAGAGAGAGAGACAGAGACAGGGAGAGTGTCCAGTCAGCATAGGCATAACTAGGGACAGGGGAAGGATTGGAACCCAGCAACAAGAGGCTTTGTTTCACCATTAGATGGCCCAATGGCCCAGGGAGAGTGGGCTGTGGATGTAGGAAAACCCCTCCTTTAGCCCACAGGGAGGGGTGAGGCTGGAGGCAGGCAGCCCAGACTCCAGGGCAGGGGTTCCCCAGACCAGGCCAAACAGCTTAAGCCATGGGGAGAGGAGAAGAATGCTTACCTGGTGCTGAGAAAGACAATAGGCCAGCTTTTTCTGATGTTTAGAAAACATTAAAAACATTGTGAGTCCATCTCACTGCTTATCTTAGTGTTCTCCACTGGCTCCCAGTGCACCTAAAACGAAATCAGACTCCTGACTTTGGCCTTGTGCCCTTGAGTCTATCCCCTCACGGCACTCAGCCACGTTGGCCTCCTCATGGACCCTGGATCCTCTACACCCATGCTGCCCTCTGTGTATTTGCACCAACCCCTTCCCCAGCCTCTAGTCCCCGGTCATTTCGATGTTACTTGTGTGGCAGCCTTTTCCCCCAGACCAGTGCCCCACATTAGCCTACTCTGCAGCCTGCAATCGTATTTTGTTTTCCGGATGACACACATCATGCAAACTGAGGCTGCTATACCCCCAGGGCACACGTAGGGCATTCTCAAAATGTCTGCTGACAGAGGAGGGAATAGTTCCAGCCAGTGTGCACCAACCAGCTACCCTGGCCAGTGCAGAGTGGGCTAACATGGGGCACTGATCTGGGGGAGCGAGGCCACAGCCACTTCACCCCACCCTCAGCTATGCACTGGCTTAAGACAGAACCCTGGGACAGGCAGGAGTCACCCCATTGCAGTGCCCAATGAAGCAGAGCGCAGCAGGGCCGTGGCTGGGAGGTAGAGGCCTCAACGCTGGGGGAGCCAAAGCCATGGGGTCCCACTAAGAAAGGTCACCAGGAATAGAGGAGGCACAGAGGCTAACGGAAAGGCCTTCTAGTGGTAGCTTAGCCAAGGATGTATTCATCTTGTCCTTGTGTCCTCCACCCCCGTTGGCCTTGACCCCATGCAAGTACCTGTTCTGCAGACCTCCGGTCTCAGGGGACACAGCCTTTCCTCTATATTGATACACGCAGAGGTTTACTGGAGTCACCATAACAAAGAACTGGGAGGCTCAAACAACACGTACTTGTTTTCTTAGCATTTTGGGGGTGGAAGTGCCAGATCAAGGTGTCTTTGTCAGGGTTGGCTCTTTCTCAGTCCATGAGGGAGAAACTGCTCCAGCCCTCTCCCCTACCTTCTGGTGATTCCCCGGTAATCTTTGGTGTTGTCTGACTCTGCATGTTCACGTGGAGTTCCCTCTTGTGTTTCTGCCTTTTCACACAGCATGCTCTTCACAAGGACAGCAGTCATATTGAGTTAGGCGTCCACCCTACTTCAGTAAGGCCTGATCTTAACTAATTACACTTGCCATGGCCTTATTTCCAAATGAGGTCACATTCGAGGCTCTGGAATTAGGACTTCAGCATATGAATTTTGGAGGGCACAATTCAGCCCATGACAGTGGGACTTATTTCTCTAACATCTTTTTCTGTTTTGAAAACCCCACATCCAGCCCTCTCTTTCCCTGGTGACCTCACCACTTCCCCAGGAATACTCACTCTGGTCCCTCTCCCTGTCTTGTCCCTTTGAGTTTCCTGGGTGTATATGGTATGCAAAAGTGGCTTTTCTAACCCCTCAGTGTGCCACCATCACTCACAGGATGGCATGGGGGGCCCCGAGCCAGCCTCTATGCCTGCTCAGCACCCCCCTTGCTCTTACTCTGCCAGCCCCCACACCCTGTGGCTTCTCATCACCCACTCCCACTGCCTGGGTTCAGCGAAGTAGTCATCCTTTTTGGAAGTGTTCTCTGATGGTGATAGTGGTCATGAAGTTGATGATGGTGATGATGAATACAGTCTCATAGTCAGTGTGGGGCTCTTGTGTGCACTAACTCCTGCAGAGGAAAGGGAATGGCGGGGGCAAATGTGCGCTGGGACCACATGTATCACCTGCAGGTTCCCCAGGACTGTGGGGTGGCCTCCCTTCCATGGAGACACTGCTCAGACAGCGGCTTTCTCCACTACTGAGAGATGGTGCAGCACTGGGTGCCATGTCTTTTTTTTTAATTTTTTTATTGATTATGCTGTTACAGTTGTTCTATTCCCCCCTTCATTCCCCTCCACCCAACCCCACCATCCCCACCATTACCCTCCCTTTAGTTTATGACCATGTGTCTCAAGTCCTTTAGATTCTATATTTCCCATACTATTCTTGCCCCCCCATCTATTTTCTATCTACTGTCTATGCTACTTATTTTCTGTACCTTCTCCCCCCATCTCCTCCTCCCACTCCCCTGTTGCCAACCCATCTTGAAATCTTCATTTCTATGTTTCCACTCCTGATCTAGCTGTCCTTTTAGTTTGCTTTCGTTTTAGGTGTGGTTGTTAATAACTGTGAGTTTGCTGTCCTTTCACTGTTCATGTTTCTTTAACTTCTTTTTCTTAGATAAGTCCCTTTAACATTTCATATAATAAGGGCTTGGTGATGATGAACTCCTTGAATTTGATCTTATCTGAGAAGCACCTTATCTGTCCTTCCATTCTAAATGAAAGTTTTGCTGGATAGAGCAATCTTGGATGTAGGTCTTTGGATTTCATGACTTGGAATACCTCTTTCCAGCCCCTTCTTGCCTGTAAGGTCTCTTTTGAGAAATCCGCTGACAGTCTGATGGGGACTCCTTTGTAGGTGACTGTCTCCTTAGCTCTTGCTGCTTCTAGGATTCTCTCCTTCATTTTAATCTTGGCTAATGTAATTATGATGTGCCTTGGTGTGTTCCTTCTTGGGTCCAACTTCTTTGGGACCAACTTCTTTGAGCTTTCTGGATTTCCTGGAAGTCTATTTCCCTTGCCAGCTTGGGAAAATTCTCCTTTATTATTTGTTCAAATAAGTTTTCCACTAGTGGCTGTGCCTTTCCCCCTTCTGGTACCCCTATAATTTGGATGTTGGCGTGTTTAAAGATGTCCTGGAGGTTCCTAAGCCTCTCCTCATGGCTTTGAATTCTTGCTTCCTGAATCTTTTCTGTTTGGCCATTATTTGCTTTCTTCTGGTCCACTCCATTGATTTGAGTCCCAGTTTCCTTTTCATTGCTATTGGTGTCCTGTGTAATTCCATTCATTTTAATTAGTTTCGCCTTCATATATTTGTCTAATTTGTGGCTATAATCCACCAGTTCTGTGAGGATCCTGATGACCAGTGTTTTAAACTGTGCGTCTGAGAGTTTTGCTATTTCTTCATCGCTTAGATCTATGGGCTGTGGGGCTTTGAGATCTTGCGACATTTTTGGTCTGTTCTGGCCCTTTAAGTATGAGAAGCAGTGCCTTAGACTCCCAGGTCGCTGGGTTGTGAGGCTGTATGTGGGGGCGTGGTCATAGCGGGGAAATGGCGGCGCCCTCTACTGCTGCTCGCTGCGGGGACCCGCCGGCCCAGTCCAACCGCCCACTCCCTTGCCTGTCCGCTGGTGCACAAATGGGCGACCACAGTCAACAAGCACCACCACTTCTCCGCTGTCTCCTCCGCGGTCCCTCACTAGGTCCAACCCTGCGCCTGGATTCCGCGCATCTGGATTCTGCGCCTCTGGATTCCGGGCCTGAGTCCGTCTGACCGAGTCCTCCTGTGCAACCACTCACCAGCCGCTGGTTTCACCCCTTACCGGTCAGGCTGAAGAATTTGTTGTTAATGGACTTCCGAAAAGTTCAATTTTCCATGTTCTGGCTGTGTTTTCTGTTGCTAATATTTAGTTGTCTCTAATCTTGGTTGTGTGAGAAGGTACGGCCCATCCACCTATGCCTCCATCTTGGCGGAAGTTGGGTGCCATGTCTTAATTCAAGGCAGGCAAACCTTATCAGGTCTTCCAGGATGACTGTTTCTCTTCTTCATAGGACTGAGCCCTGACCTCACACATGGGAGAACCCTCTCCCACACCTGTGGCCTACTTGTGTGACCCTGGGCCCTATCACACATCCCCCCAGCCTGCTGTGTCAGCTAGAGCCCTCTCCCAGTCCCTGCTAGCTGCCAGGTTCTTACCCATGCTTGTCTGCTATCACCAACCCCATTGCCTGGTACCACACCCTACCTAGCTGTACCCCCTAGACTGGTCTCATAGCTCCCATCAGAAACTGCCCAGTGTCCCATGCCATCAAGCCCTGGAAAGAAGAGCTCCTGTCAGACTGGATACACTGCTTCATCTAGGAAACTTTCCCCATCTCTCCACCTTTCCATCAGCAGAAGTCTGGCTCTGGAGAAGATAGCAGGCCTGGGAGTGAGGAGGCAGCTGGTAGGTCCACTGTGGGTACCCCAGCTGAGTGGAGAGATGAAGGCCTTCTTCTTTTGTATGGCAGGGTCTGTGGCATTATTATCCCCTGGAACTATCCCCTGATGATGCTCTCCTGGAAGACAGCTGCCTGCCTGGCTGCTGGGAACACAGTGGTGATCAAGCCTACCCAGGTGGGTATAGGCAGGGCCCATGGGCTGTAGAGGTGTTATGGGGAAGCACCATGTAAGGGAGGAGCCAGATGGCCCATGAGCCCCTTTACCAACAGTGGTCCTGGTTTCTTTTCAAGGGAGAAAGGGTACTGCTGATGACAGCCAGCCTGCTGTGGGCCCTGCTCACAGTGGGCAGAGGCAGTGTGCAACAGGGCCAGTGCCAGCCATAAGCAGGTTCTGTGTTCTTTTCACCATGGGTTGGCTGCTTCAGGGTAACTATGCTGTTTGCAGCTGCCTGGTGAGCAGAGTCAGGGATTTCTCCACAGCTCCAGAATTTTGGATTCTGGGGAGCAGAAGCCTTGCTTGCTGTCCCTTGCCCTGGCGCCATGCTCTGAGACACCCCACGGTGGTCTATTAGGAAAGCTGGTGCCATTATCTCCCATTTGGCCTCAGAGACCAAAGTTCTGGAGGGAAATGGGGTGAGCAGTGGGATTTGGGCACTTGCCACCCCAACCCCTTACAGAGGAGACATAGAGGTGGGACATCAGGGGCTACTCATGCAGGCCAGGAGGGCATGGACAAGGTCCTCCAGGGGTGAAAACACCCCCTCCTCCATGAGCCTCTGCTTCTTCATCTGCACATTGACAACAACAGCTCCTTCCCTGCCTGCCTCCAGGGGGGAGTTAGGAACTGATGTGAGATCCTCTGGCATGTGACTCTGAACAGTGTAGCCAGGAGGTCTCCCACTGCCCCAGCTTCTTTGGGGCAATTTGCACCTCTGCCAAATAATAATGATAGCTAGCATATATAGTAGTATAGTGCCTAGAGTTAGGCACTCCTTGAACATTTTAACATATATAACACAAGAATAGTAATTTACATACATTTGCTTATTTAAACATCAAAACAACCCCTGAGATGACCCTTAACCTTCCCCTTTTCATGTGGGGAGCTGTTGTCCCTGGAAGACCCGCATTAGCCCATTGTCCTTGGAAACACAAAGACCCTCCTCCCAGGGCCAGCACCCCAGAGATTTGGCCCCTCAGCCTGAGGCCTGGTGGTGGGTGGAGCACAACCTTACCTTGACTAGGACAGTTACCTCAACCAGAAATTTATTCCCTTCTTCTGCAGAGGAGGATCAGTTCTGGCTAGTCAAAGGCAGGGCACTATCTCCAGCAGTGGTCATCAGAATCTCAGCTGGACCCTGAAACACCACGCCCTCCCTGGGCTGAGGTGCTGCCAGGGCCCAGCAGGTGGGCTGCTAAGGCAGCACCACAGTGAGAGAAGGAGGCTAGTTTTTCTGAGGGGGCAGGGAGAGGGTATGCCCCGCAACCTTCTGCGAGTGATGCCCTACTGCACAGTCCTCAGACTCTGTACCCCCTGAAGGATCAGTGTAAACAGTGACACATGCAGGGAGGGGCCCAGGCCTGGCAGAGGGGGCTGGAACCCTACCAGGAGAAGGTGGTAGAAAGGTACCTAAGGTTAGCAGGCCCTGTCCCCTGACAAGCTGGCTGGGTTGCTGATACCCACTATGGTGAGGCATGAACATGTCTTCCACCATGGGTCTTCCTGCCACAGCTGCCCGTGCCTGATTGCTACCTAGGCTGCTGAGAATGACAGAGCCCCTCTTCCCAATACCTCCTGACCCAGTCTTTTTCCTGCCTCCTTAGGTGACCCCACTCACAGCCTTGAAGTTTGCAGAGCTGACCTTGAAGGCGGGCATTCCCAAGGGTGTGGTCAACATCCTCCCAGGATCTGGTAAGGGCTATAAGTGGGGGGAGCCAGGGCTCCAGGAGCTGGAGATGTACTTAGTCAGAACAAGTACTGCTACATGATGTGCCCTGGCAGGCAGAGCAACCCAGTGCAGAGCCAGTGGGATAGGGAGAGGTCACTCTGAAGCCTCATTTGAAAGGGGAAATCTGAGGGTGAATAGGAATTCACCACATTTGGGGGCAGGGTGTAGGCAGAGCTTGGGGTGAAGTGAGAAGGTCACAGGGTAAGGGGCAAGTCAGGTTCCAAGCATTCCCAATAGATGGGGCAAATAGGCAGGGCAGCAAATGCCTGGGTTCTGCATACCAGGGCCCCCCACAGCCAGTCTCTCCAGGCCTGGGACCTTCCTGGCCAGCCTGCATCCCCAAGGAAGGCCTATTGGAGTCTGTGACGCCTGGGCATCACTGCCCCCACAGCCAGACCAGGCAATCCTTGGGTCTCTGCTGGAGACAATGGGAGAGCTGGATGTCTGGGTGCCTGCACCCTTGGTGTCTACCTTGATAGATAGAAAGCCACATGTAGATGGTATAAGGTTTGTTTGGGCTGTCGTAACAAGGTACCGCAGACTGGGGGCTTAAACAACACACTTTATTTCTGACAGTTCTGGAGGCTCTAAGTCCAAGATCAAAGCATGAGCAGGGTTGGTTCCTTCTGAGGCTTCTCTCTTGGTTTTCGGATGGCCATCTTCTCCCTGTGTCTTCACAGGACCTTTCCTGTGTGTGTGTGTGTGTGTGTGTGTGTGTGTGTGTGTGTGTGTGTGTGTCCAACCTGCTCTTCTTATAAGGACACCAGTCAGATTGGACTAGGGATAATAACCCTTGGTTAATTACCTTTTTGACCTTAATTACCTCTTTAAAAACCCTGTCTCTAAATACAGTCACATGTGACTAGGGCTCAGGGCTTCAACATATGCGTCTGATGGTGGGGCAAAGGTATAATGGCCACCATAGCAAGAAAGGTGAAGTGGGCCACTCCATAGAATATAACAGAATTTACTTAATGGGAAGATAGATCAGAGTGGAAGAGATGACCCAGCAACTCTGTACAGACTATTCTCCTCTAATAGACCCGTTACTGTAATTGTTTAATAGTATGACTGAGGTGCTAAAGACTGACAACACAAAGGGACAAGACCACCTCCAATGGTCTTGTGATGGATGATTGTTTTAATTGGTACTATTATTACCACTTTGATATCTATTGTGGTTGTCATGCCATTATGACTGCTACTAACAAAAATATTTATGGGTACATTCTAAGGAAAACAGATAATCATCATCTAGAAAGCTTTGATAGGCTTCCTAAGGAGAGTGAGGTTGGTCAAAGGTCACAATATGAAACTTAAAAATGAAATGAAATCGCCCTGGCTGGTGTAGTTCAGTGGATTGAGCACGGGCCTGTGAACCAGAGGAACGCAGTTCGATTCCCAGTAAGGCACATGCCTGGGTTGCAGGCCAGTTCCCAGCAGGGGACGCATGAGAGGCAACCACACATTGATATTTCTCTCCCTCTCTCCTTTTCTTCCCCTCTAAAGATAAATAAATGAAATCTTAGAAAAATGAAATGAAATCTAGGACACAGATATGGAGTTGGTGTTGTTCACATCTACATCTATAAATATGGATTTTGAGGGAATACAATTATGCCCTTAACAGGGAGCAAGACCCAATGAGCCCCAGGAACTGATGGCATTAAACACACAGGGCACAGCCCAGAACTCTGGTCTCAGGTGGACATGTGAGGGGTAACGGGGTTCATCCCTCCCCACTCTGACACCTCAGATGCCTCCCTGACTCTCTCACCACCCCCACCCTTTGCCCATCCACAGGCTCATTGGTTGGCCAGAGACTCTCAGACCATCCCGATGTGCGGAAGATTGGGTTCACAGGCTCCACAGAGGTGGGAAAGCATATCATGAAAAGGTAGGTGGTTGGGGTGTGGGGGTGAGGCCAGCACTGCCATGGAAGCCGTGTCTCTGGTCACAGCCTCTGGGCTTGGATAGTTCTGTGTGTGAGCTGCATCCTGCTCCTCAAGCCTCCGTGTGCACAGCTGTTCCCAGAGGCCAGGTTAAGGCAGGTTCTGATCCCAAGTGCATGACAATGCTTGGTATGGCCAGTGGTGGTCGCTCTGGGGAGCTCACTTGGGTCAGTGAGGTGCAAGAGCTGCGTGTGACTGCTGAGCACTTGGAATATTCAGCTACTCTGAATTGAAATGTGCTGGGGACTGTAAAAAACACCAGGTTTTCAAAACTTGGCGCACAAAGTAAAGCACCTGATTAATAATTTAACATCAATTACAAGTTGAAATTACTTTTATTATTTTGATTAAATTAAGTATATTGTGATTAATTTCACCAGTTTCACTTTAGTTGTTTTTTTTTTTAATGTGGCTACTGAAAATAAAAATGCCACTATGTAAGTGGCTAGTATTTGAGGCTTCCATCCTTTTGTAGTAGATGGCACTGATCCTAGGACAGCATCAACTCTCTTATTCCTTGGACGTTGTCCTCAAATTGGCCAGGTTGTATGTTGGGCCCTGTCACTAATTCATGATATGACTTGGCCAACCTCTGACCCTTCCAGGCCTTGGTTTCCCCACTAGTTCAATGAAGGTGTTTTATAGGCTCAGTGATTTTGGACTATGCAGCGGATGAGCTTGGAGTGGTACCCAGGGCCAGATCCCAGGGCAGCAGCTCATAACCCTGGCTGCCCCAAGACAATCACCAGATATCTAGACCCCACTTCACGGAAGCTGAATTTTTGGGGTGGGTTTGCGGTATCTGCACTTTGATGGGTATACATAGATAGTACTTGAGGGTTCTTCTGAGCCCACTGACTTTTAGGATCTCTAAGGACACATGACCACTCACTTCTGTCTCTGCACCAAGAATCACCTATGTGGGGAGTCCAACTGCATCATGACAATCTACGGGGAGGAAAGCTTCTCTTGTATTAAAACAATGTCTCCTTGTTATAGCTCCTAATGCAGAGCAATGCTCTCTCTCCCTAGAACAGTCCTGCAGCCCCTGTCCCCACAAATTCACAGGCCTCTCTGTGCCCCACAAGATGGGGTTCATGTGCCTCAGCCTTGCACATGCCTTCTGTGAGCTAGACTGGTCTGTGTCCCCATTCTCTAATGGGCACCATGCTTGCGCCAATCACAATGGGCCAATGGGCTTATGTAACATCCACTTTTGGGTCAGGAGCCATGGCCAGTATAGCTGGTGGATCATGTTTTCGGGTCAGTAGAGGCTGATGTCACAGCCTGTGAGTACTCCAGTTGGGGCTGCTCTGATTCATTTTGTAAAATAACAACAATGTTACAACTATCAACAACTGAACCTAAAAAACAAAAACAGAAACAAAACAAGCTAATCAAACAACTGAACAGGAACAGAATCACAGAAATGGAGATCACATAGAGGGTTATCAGTGGAGAGAAGGAGGGCAAGGGGGGAGTATGACGGAAAAGGTACAGGGAATAAGAAGCATAGGTACAAAATAGACCAGGTGAGGTTAAAAACAGTATAGGAAATGAAGAAGCCAAAGGACTTATATATATGACACATGGACATGAACTAAGGGGGTGCAAATGCGAGTGGGGGAGTGCAGGGCACAGGGGGATAAAGGAAAGAAAAAAGTGGCACAACTGCACTAAGCATAATTTATAAAATATAGTTAAAAAATAAAAATACAAGGCTACAAAAAAATAAAAGAATATGGTATGAGGAGCCATTGTTTTAATCCTCACCTGCAGACAAGCTTATTGATTTTAGAAAGAGGTGGATGGAGAGATAGAGGGAGAGAAACATCAATCAATTGCTTCTCATGTGCCCTTACCAGGGACCAAACCCAAAACCTAGGCATGTGCCCTGAGTGAGAATCAAACACATGACATTTCAGTTTATGGGACAATGCTCAAACCAAACAAGCCACACTGGCTAGGACAAGGATCCATTTTCATAAAAGTATGGTTTGTACAGACATTCCATTTCCCTATTTCTGCTCTAGAGATACAAATACATTTTCCTAAAGAAAAGAAAAAATCATAGAATTGTGAGGACCACTTGCACTGAAAGCTAAGTTTCCTTTTCAACAAATCAAAAAAAGGTTTAAGTTAAAAATCCTTTTTTTGTGAATGATGGAAACTGACAAAAAGTCTCTCCTTCAACAAATTCAACTAAGCTCTTCTGGACTTTTTCTCAGCTATGCCTGGTATCTGGGCTTCCTGTTCCTCTCTGCACTTCCAATTTCAGCAAGAATCCTTCTAAAGTAAATTTATCCAAACTCCTTCACTTCCAATATCTGATCAGATTCCTCATCCCTGATCATTCCCTCAAATGATGTCTGATCGCCCTCTCCTGCTTTCAGCAAGAATCTTGTTAGGTGGATTTAGCCAGAATACCTCCTTTCTCCTGGTGTTTTCTCTTAGCATTTTCCAATCCACCAGTTCCCACCTCTCATCCCCAATCTATGGCTATAAGTTCCCACCTGTCCTTGTTGTATTCACAGTTGACTCCAATCTCTTTCCTCCTACACCAAGATCCCATTTCAGTGGTCCGTATTGCAATAGTACACCCTTAAATAAAGTCATCCTTATAATTACTAACAAGTGTCTTTAATAATATTTTCTTTAACAAAACAGATGTCCTACAAGTGCCCCAAGTATGATTCAGCTGATGTGGACTCTGGATTCATGTGAGGTATATCCAGAAACACACCTCATTTGTAGTGTCAGTGTGGCTGAGACCTTCGAATATGGTGGCATGTCATTCTCTTAAGGTAATGTTGCATAGCAAAGATGAAGGAATCTTAAAGATGTACTTAAGCCCCCTAATCAATTGACTACAATAGTTAAAAGGGAGATTTCCCTCATGGTTATCCCTTTTAAAAGAGTGTACAAGTAAGACACAGAGAAAGTCAGAGTATGTGGAGCCAGAAACAGTAACCTGTTGGCTTTAAAAAAATAATCAAGGGAAGGTTAACCAATAACTGTTAAAACTGCTGAATACAGGAGGGGGGGGAATAAAGTGAAACTGATAGAATGACACTTGTGATTATACTATTTGTACAGTTTGAATTTGAAACTTTTTAGTACAATATATTAAAAAATGAATTTAAATCAAGGATAAAAAATCTTTCAAATTAAAAACAAAGTAATAAAACAAAGTAATAAATGAAGCTAATTGTATTTCAAATAATAAATATAATCACACAAAATAAATATACAAAAACAATCAATTAAAGTAATTTTTCAACACAGTACTTGTATTAAATATATTCAGGCAAAAGACAATAGTAATTGCACAGAATTTTTAAGTCTACTTAACCATTTACTTTTCTTCAGTGGTGTAGGTGTAGCAATTCTGAAATTTCTGTATGTAAAGTATGACTAAATACGTGCTTAAAGGTTTTGAAGTTGTAAAGTATAGGTATCATGGTAACAGAAAAGGAGGTGAAGAAATATTAGGAGGCAGCTACTTCTAGTCAAGATGGCAACACAAAATTACAATAAACTACAGAAAACCCATCATTCAGAACCACCTGAAATCAAGCTGAATGGAAGTCCTATAATCACACAATTAAAGAAGAAACCACATTGAGGGTGACAGGATGGGTGAAGTTGCTGAATGAGTTGGTACCATGCCAATGTGTGTTGGATAAAAATCTACAGGGATTTTTAAGCACAGAAGCCCCCACTAAGGAGCAATGGGTCCCAGCCCCAGCCTAGTGTTCCAGAGCCAGGAAAAGAAGTCTCCATAATTTCTGGTTGTAAAAACCAGTGGGGAATGAAGCTAAGGAAGATGAAAGTTGTTGGAGCCTCTGGCAGTTCCTGTTAAAGGGCCTGTGCACAGACTTAGACTCACTTGCTCTGACTACAAGTGTGGGGCAGCAGCTTTAATGGCACTGGAGACATAGGGAGGAACTGAATTATTTGGCATCAGGGTGAGAGCTTGTGGGGCAGCTTTTTCTGACAGGTGGATGCCATATCTGAATCTCCATCCACCTGGCTCACACTGTTTGCCCCACCCTGGTGATTTTCTGAGGCCCCATCCCACTCAACTTTCAGGCCCATCCAAGCTGTCTGCAGTAGCTTTTCCATACAAATGACATGTCTTGGTTCATACTTCAAGTTTTTCTAAATTCTCTCAAACAAGCAGCATCTGTCCTCGGCAAGCCCCATACCTCACATTAAGTGGTCCCACGCCTGGCATTAGCAGTAGCTGGCCTTAGCTCACAGCCTGGTCTCTCCTTGGCACCTCCAAACCCAACACAAGTAGCAGACATCTGCAGATCACTTTGTAGCTCATGTCAGTTGGCCTTGGGAAGAACAGAGGCAGTAGCTGACCTTGGCCTGAACTGCCAGGGAAGCCCCAGAGTCAGCACACCCTCGGACAGCTTCATATCACATCAGCACCATCCAACTACCTCTATAAGAGGCACATTCAAGGGGTGAACTCAGCATGAACAAGAGCCCTGATGAAGTAAGTCCTGCTGTGCAGAATGGGCCTCCATAGTAGTCAGAGGTCAGTGGCCACAGCCAGTCTTTGTAGCTGCTCTGTCTTGGTAAATTTGTCCCATTGGTGTGACAAGAGCAATCACGACTCAAGTACAAGAGGAGTGTATACACAGCCTACACAGGTAGGGCACACATAGAGTACCCAGATTGGGTAATGAGAGATTGTGCCACTGGACCCTATAGAACACCTTCTACATTAGATTACTCTACCGTGCCTGGGGAGGCTGCCACAGGAAACAAAGAAACACCACTCAAAGGAAAGAACAGAACAAAACTCCAGAAAGAGAACTAAACAAAATGGGTACAAGCAACTTACTAGATGCAGAGATCAAAACATTGGTTGTAAGGATGCTTAGTGAACTTACCGAGAATCTCAAAGAATAAAAAAGAATCAGCTAGAAATGAAAAATACACTAAGTGAAATGA